GGTGCTTCGACCGACTCGGTGGGGAGGTGGTGGGTAGGTGCTTCGGCCGGCTCGGTGGGGAGGTGCTAAGGGGGGGGGGGCTGGTAGCTCTTTTCCGCATGTACTTTCAGACTGGAGAGAGAGAGAGAGCGAGAGAGAGAGAGAGCGGTGTGACCGGTCAACATAACTTGACCTGTTGATAATTGAATCGGTGAAATTGAATATGTGGATGGCGTTTGTGGCCGGTTTGTTTTAAGTTTAGCGATTCTGTTTTCTACTCTTTCTCGGTGACGATGATAATGTTCTTCGAATCGTTGAAGATTCGTTGCTGTTTACTATTTTGTTTGTGACCGTGTATGCCCTTGCTGTTTGCGACTATTGCTGTTTACTATTCTGCTTTCCACAAACACTTAGAAAGACAGAAGACGTCAAGAGCTAAAAGAGTGATACAGAAAGCACCAGCCATACACTAACAAAGAAAACATAGAGTCAGAGACAGAAAGAGCGAAGTGAGATTCTTCATTGGGGTTGCTTCCTGACTTTTTTCGCGGGCGGAGCTGTGCTGGCTGCACCTGCTTGTAACTTTTGTGGCGTTGTGTGCTGGGTTGTTGCAGAGTGATAATCTCTTCTGCCTGAGTGCAAGATGAGAGGTGTCAGATGATAGATGCCCAAGGTTTGCCTTCTGATACAATTCGTCCTTGTGTTTGCAGGCTCGATTTTTCTTTCAACAACTGATTTCGGGAGTCAGCTTCTGTCATGCACAAGTAAGTCCTCATCATGTTGCAATGATCAATCACCGGTATGGCGTCTGGCTGCTCTAGACTGTCATGCACACGTTGCACATTTAGTGAATGCTCAATGATAGAACCTGAATGCTGCTATGTTTTAGCCCTTTGTGGGAATGAAAAAGTGAAATATTAACTTCTTTGTTAAGGTGGCCGTGTATGAAGCGTGGAACCTTGGAATGCCTGTTCTGGGCAGGATGGTATATGGAAGTCACAAGTGGGTAATGTCTAAAGGAATCTGCATTCATCTCAGACGGTTAGAATTTGGTGAGATGAAGGATCATGCTTCTGTGAATTCGAAGTTGGATACGTTTTCCCTTGGATGCAAGTTAGATTGAATTACTGCGGAAGTTTAGGTCATGAGGTATGTATCCTGGATTCTTTGCCTTCAATCGTAAGATGTGTGTAGACGTTCGTATTGTCTTTAGTTGGAGTTTTGGAGAGAGCAACACGACTGTCATGAAAATCATTTGTTTTCCCGCCTGCAAAGGATTATGAGCTAAACTGGAAGAGATTCTGCGTATGACAACGTGGTTGCCAGGAAATATGTCATCGGGATTTGAAGCTCGAAAATACCTTGCTGGATGGTAGTGATGCTCCTCGGTTGAAGATATGTGACTTTGGGTATTCTAAGGTAAGGTGTTTTCGCCTTGATTCGTTCGACTGTTTTTGCTTGGAGGTGTTTGCCAAGCAACTGGTAAGCCAACACCCCATGATAGCAGAAGAAAATCCTAGGTTCAGCATAGCACTTTCTGAAATTTTCAATGTTAGACACGAAATCTTCCAGTGTTACCATTTTCCATCCGCCAAGTTTGGTGGAATGTTGGTTAATGTTTGTGTGCTCACATACTGTATCAGTGTTGTACTTTGTTTCTTCTCTCTCTGATGCTTCTTAGCAGGACACCCAGTCTCACGGCTGGGATAGTATTTGCCTCTGCCAGTTCTTCTTGGTATTATGCATGATGTGCTGCAGGTATAAGCATCGGACATATGCGCTCCTACTGACACGAAAGAGGGTACTGAGTGCATGTTTGGTTCAAAGAGACATGTTTCTACGGATGGGTGTGTCATCGACTCATCGGTGGGATTCCTCATGTGGAACTGTGTCGTTAGTTCAAATTCACCGCCTTAGGTTGAAGCGAGGGCATTCTTCCCCCAACCAGCTATTTTACAAAGCAATGTTTTGATCATCCCTGTCCAGGTGTCATAACAATGGGAAACAGTCAGAAATCGCCTGTTCCCTCAAGAAGGGAAGAAAAGCACCTGCTGGGGTGTGCTGTAGGATTGCCGCAACCGGGCCAGTATTAGAAATAGACTTTGTATGTTGTGTTTGCTCTCTTGCTTGTCCCTCTCCTGACAGTTGTCCCAGTCCTTCATCTGCCTCGTCCCTCTTTCTTATGGCCTCGGCATTCTGGTGCTTCAGTGTCAAGATCTGAGCCAATTTGAGCAAAAGCAGCTACTTCATGATATTCTGCTGGCTTAGGCCTATCACAGGACTTGAAGCTACTGTGCATTTTTGTGGGGAGGTGGACGGAGCTACGGGAGCATGTGGAAAGTGCGGAAGAGGAGGAAGAAGAGGAGAGGACTGGTAGAGAAGGCATTGGGGTGTGATGTCGTAGCAGGAGGATGGGAGGGGTGCTCAAGGATGGGAGAGGGGCAGGTTCAAAAGAGAAGTGAGGCATTATGTGGGTTTTGGCTACGTGGTACCAAAAGCTCAATCCTGATAAACAAACCTTAAGCGCAATCATGGTGGATACAATAGCACCAGGGCTAATCCCCTCAGAAGCAGAAAAGAGGGTGTGCTTGGCAAATCCCCTCGGAAGCAGAAAGAAGGGTGTGCTTGACAAAGTGTGCAGGAGTCGAAATAGACTAGAACAAATATGGAAAGCAACTAGGGAGCAGGATGGTGAACTCTAGTGCATTCTCAGTTCTCGATGTCTGTTTTCGTCCTTGCCACCTCAATTGTCTTGCTCTTGTTTGCTGTCTTGTAAATGGTGTATTAGGTCCAAAATGAAGTGTGGACTTTGTATCAGACAAGGATAATGGGGCTTTTTTTCTGCATCGCAAAGTATACTGGACTGTTTTTCATCCTTGGCACTGTATCTGCTATTGCTGTGCTGATAAGGTGAAGATTGATCATAGAAGCGGTGCCGATTTGAAATTATTCAGCTCGCTGCTTCTGATGGAATGTTTTGGAATGTCCCTTGTGAAATGTTTTCCCTGGATCTGCAGTCGTCTCTTCTTCATTCTCAGCCCAAGTCCACAGTTGGAACGCCAGCTTACATTGCGCCTGAAGTTCTCTCGAAGAGGGAATATGATGGCAAGGTTTGTCAGTCTATCTGTCTTAGTCTTCCCTTATCCAATTGCTTGGCATAGTTATGTGAATCCAACTCTTTTATTCGATTTAAGCAATGGTGTTGCTGTGTCTTTCTCTTTGTTTATGTTCTTGCCTTTCTTGTTGTTGTGCAACACACCTTTTCTGTCATCTCAAATTTTATGGCCTGAGGAGTCCTCACAATCGGGGGCTTTGTCATAGGTGATTGTGAGTGTGCTATGAAAGTTATAGTGTGAGTATGCTTTAGGGAAGTCTTAGCACTACGATTTGATTGCGGGCATGCCCCTGGCTTGTTTGCAGATACCTTTTCAGAATGTCAAGCCACCAGGTTCTCCGAGCTGATTTTCCTGATGCTGGGTTTTGAATTCCTTGTTGGGGGCAGGCCTGGTTGTGTTGCGAATATGGCATGAGCATTTGTGCCACAATGTTTTGACAGGCAACATGATTTTTTTTCGGACTCTTCTATTTTGAAACAGTTTTTCACCTTAGCAGTAGCAGATGCGGATCCCAGGGCTCGATCCCTATAGACCTTACCACACCCGTGTACAGTATCGAGTCGACCCTGTGTGTTTGAACCCGTGACCTGTGTTGTGGTAGTTGACTGTAGTCTGTCGTAGGTCTGTGTAGCTGTACGCTGGGCCCGTTTCCCAGCAGGTAAAAAAAAAAAAAAAAAAAGGGTCTGTGCAGCTGTAGGGGTTCGATCTGTAGGCCTGTTAAGTGGGGGTCATAGTTGTGTAGAGGCTGTAGCTGTAGCAATTCTGAAAGGTCAAGGTTGTAGCTGCTACAGTCCTGAAAGGTCAAGGTCGTAGCTGCTACAGTCCCGAAAGGCCAAGTCCACAGACTTCCGGAAGGTCCGGAAGTGGCCTTTCGAGTTTTTCTCACGTTTCTCACAGCAGACCAGAGGCAAGTGGGCAAGTGGTGAGTCCAACTTCGCTTAGTCAGCGGTACCCAGTCCCAGTCGCGTTTTGTCTAGTCAGCAAGTACCATGTGGGACTGTGTGCATCATGGGCCCGGTGGAAAGGGCAGACCAACGACTTGCAGAAGTATAAATTAAGAGGCAGCGTCCAGCCATTCATTCATTCCTGCGTGAGCCATGCGGAAGCGCTGCCTTAGCGTCTTGTGCGAGGTGGTCTGCAGTTGCCCGAAGTTGAAGTGGGCTGAGAGAAAGATAGAGCAGCCATAGCTGCTTGAAGTTAGGGATAGCCGGTGGCCATAGCTGCCATAGCTAGTGTTAGGAATTAGTGAGAGTGTGTGTCTGATACAGAGTGTGTGTGCGTGTGGGATATTCAGGGTGATCCAGAGTTGAGTGTGTGCGAACAGTGGTGGTGGACATATTCAGGGTGATCCAGAGTTGAGTGTGTGCGAACAGTGGTGGTGGACACAGTGTAGGCAGTGAAATGTTTAGGCGATCAGGCACCATAGCCTGTTTGAAGCGAGTTTGTAACTGAACTGTGTTCTCGGTCTCCGCCTGGCGCCAGTTTGGTTTGCCATCTGTTTGCATGTATGCAAGTTGAAGAAGAAAGCGAGTCTGATTGCAATTTGAAGGAGACTCTGAAAAACGGCCAAATTGAGGACACTCGAAATTTGCTCTGCCTCCATGGGGCTGCCTATTGCAGGCTGTTGGGGCAAACTAGCCGATGTGTGTGGGTTAGCCTGGCAGGGTATCGGGGTTGTAATTCAATGGCCACACATTGAATGGAGCTGATTATGCACGTGGCCATGTTCTCTTGTAAGAGTGACAGATGCATTGGTGCAAATCATGGTTACTATCCGGAAGCAGGGATCCCAGTCCATACCATCCGCATCTGGATGTCTTGCCGGATGGATGGTCCAGTAAGTCTGGAAGGGGAATTAAACCACCAGTACTTCCTAAAGTCGTGCCCGTTAACGATACGCGATTTTAGGAAACGTACGGGCCACTACAGGAGCGCCCAAATTCATCCAACTAGAAACGTTTCTACTCTATTTTTTTCCGCGGACGATAGCTGGGCCAAGTACTGGTGGTTTAAAGAAATAATTGCAGAAACTTAGGAGCGCCCAAATTCATCCAACTAGAAACGTTTCTACTCTATTTTTTTCCGCGGCCGATAGCTGGGCCAAGTACTGGTGGTTTAAAGAAACAATTGCAGAAACTTAGTGAGAATGAGTGGATTAGACCGAGCTCCTCTCCTTATGGAGCCCCTGTTCTTCTCGTGCCAAAAAAGGAAGGTGAGAGCTCAGACTTTGCATCGATTGTTGGGGACGGAATGCTGTGACTGAAAAATCACAGAACCCCTTCCTCTGATGGATGACCTGCTGGACAAGTTGCAAGGTTGCAAGTACTTCAGTAAGATTGATCTGAAGTCAGGCTACCAAGGTTGCAAGTACTTCAGTAAGATGATCTGAAGTCAGGCTACCATCACATTGAGGTAGCTCCTGAAGATCAACACAAGACAACGTTTAGAACCTGGTATGGACACTATTTATGGTCATGCCCTTTGGACTCACTAATGCCCCTGCGACCTTCCATGAATGATCTATTCCACAAATGGTTGTATCAATTCATGGTTGTCTGCTTAGATGACATTTTAGTTTTCAGTAAACCACTGGAACACCATAAGGAGCATCTATGAATGATCCCACATAAGTTAAGAGATTGGAACTTCAAGATTAATCAGCACAGAAGAAAGGACGATTGTTGCAATTAGAGACTGGCCCAGGCCGAAGACCCTCGCTGAACCAAATAGTGAATGAAGAAGGGGAGTTACTTGTACAATCCACCCCATGTGGCATCACCTACGTACCCCAGTGTACCAGCTCCAGCCCACATCGTACCATACAGTCCACATGCTATGACTCGTCATGCGTAGTACCACCCAAGCCACATAGCTTCACCTACACCATAGCCCACCCAGTCAACATAGTATGACCCGCCGCACATAGTACCACTCAACCTGAGTGGTATCAACCAGGCCACATAATTCCACCCTGCCTGCGTGAGATTCCCCAGTGACATAGTATGTTGCAGACAATGGCCAAATCATGCATCATGTTGGCCATGTTTTTTCACCCCCCTTCCATGGTCATGTCCGTCTTCTTCTCTTTTTTTTGGGTGGGAGTGTGTGTTAGTACCATCCAGTCCACATAGTATAGCCTACCACACATGGTGCTGCCCATGGAGTTGTGACTGGATCTGTGTTCTTTTGTACGCCAATTTGACGCCATATAATACTCCCAGCCCGCATAGTACCTTGTAGCCATGTGGAATTAGAGTGTACTCCAAACTTGCTTGCAACATGCACACATGGACGAACTGATGGCAGAACAATGTATCCAACTCAGAATCAACAATGAACTTGCACTGGTCCCTTGCACCCACACAGAAAACTCAGAGATTTGTCTTCCATTGAAACTCAATTCAAGTCAACTGTACAACTTGCGGCTGTGGCCGCTGAGCATTGTCTCCACCACCAGCCTCATTGTCTCTCATGCATGCACGTACGAGGATCCACCCTGAATGTCCGCTCCACACACACACACACACTGTACACTAAGATTACGTCAGCAGCTTGGCGGCTATGGCCACCGTTGTCTTCCTCCTCCTAGCTATGGCTGCCGTCGTCTTTCTCACTGCCCACTTCGGCTCTGGGCACCTGCAGACCTCCACACACAAGTCACCAAGGCAGCCCTTCGGCGTGACTCACAGGCGAATGAATGAATGAGTGGCCGCTGCCTCTTTATTTATACCATCCCGCAGGTGGCCTCGCCCTGCCCCAAACCGCATGAGAGCCTCGGCCCCTCAAACCACGTGGGCCAGGAAGCCTTCAAAACACGTGGACCTGCTGGGCCAAAACTCGTGGGACCCTCCAGAACGTGTGTGGGCCTACTTGGTACTTACTGACTGTACAGGGGCAGACGAACCTACGACATTCTAGAATCGATGAACTTGACCTAACCTACGACATTCTAGAATCGACGAACTTGACCTTTCGCTAGGAACAGGTCACGGGTTCAAAGCCCCACTCGGAGCATAGGGTCATTGTACAGGGTTTAGGCACAGGTCTATGGCGGGTCAACTCGGTGAAACCATTTCACTCCCGCCGTCCTAAATTCGAGGTCCTCAGAGAACACAGATAGGACCTTTACCCTTTCTTGCCCTATCGTGAGCGTGTACTATTTCGGGAGTGGTTTCTAAAAGCTTTGTCCTAGTAAACCACCTGTCATGCTCTGGTTCCTGGTATGCGAATCTAACTTTATATTGCTTTTGGGGACGACCTCGATCTACTGTTTTAAACACGTCCTCTTCCAGTATGCGGTCTATGTCGTATGCACCATCCATGTTTGGCGGAATCATTGACCTTCGCGAAGGAAAGTTGTCAGTGTTGGTGCATAGCAGTAGCTTTGACGCATGGAAGACTGGGTACGTGCAAGGATGCGATGGTATCTCTATTGTGTATGATGGTCTGTCCCCGCCTCCTTTGACTTTTAGGACAGGCCATGGTCCTCTGTACGTAGGGAAGAGCTTCTGCAAAATGTTCTCCTCGGGTGCGAACTCTTTATTTAGTGCGAACTCTTTAGCAGGTTAGTCGCTTACCTGGAACTGCGAGGGTCGATGATGCTTATTAGCTTGCTCGATCGTACGGTGCTGGGCCTTTCTCAAATTGTCAGTCACCCTAGCGACTTCCTTTTCGTGCTGTAGTGGAAACTCTCGGGTGCCGGTCGTAGTCTTTGGATTTGATCCCAGTTCAGTCCTTCAAACGGCCTCCTTGGCCTAAAGACTTATGCACCTCGTTGGGAGTTCTACAGGTAGCTAGATGAACACTATTGTTATAGGCGCTAGCTACTTTGGGGAGCATCTCGTCCCGATTCATCTGATCTGGTCTAATATACATTCAGAGTAGTTGTCGCAAGAACTTGTTCATTTGTTTCAGTTGATCGTTTGTCTCTGGATGACGGCCTGGCGACATTAAGAGCTTAGATCCGTCTACTGTCATAAGATCTTGCCAGTTCT